GGCTTCTTGAGCCCTGGACCTTCTCATTTCTTGCTCTCAAAATGCCCCACTGCTTCTTTTTCCTCTCCCTTTCCCTGAGATGTGGACATTTCCAAGGATTCTACCCTCAGTCTCTTCCACCTTCTTCTCCCACCTGTTCCCTGGATGACATTGCTCAGAACTACTCCACCGGCCCCCACCTCCCTCCTCAGGCTTCCAAACACCCAGAGGTCTTGAGAAACTTCAACCTGGTTGTCTGCTCTGGTTTTTACTGGCTTTAGCTGTCGGTGATTCTGTCCTCGTCTGCGATGGTGGCTCAAGCACAGAGTGACTGCAACACAACAGCTTTCCATTTTGTTGTCATTTACTGCCGTGATTTTATGTCCAGGTTCATAACTTCACTTACCCATATCAAAATTGCCTGTCACAGCCGTGAGTCCTATTGAATTATTAACTTCTCGTAGAATAAATCATTTTAAGCAGGTTAAAACTCCCATATATCAAATATACCTGTACCAATCGCAGCCACATAACTGAAAAAATATTGAATTTTTGTTTTGCTACTTCAGAAATAATTTTCAGATGCATTCTCTCTATTTTCGCATTTTGAATGCACGTTTAAAAATTTAATTTCGATGGTTAGCTACATTTTTTCAAGTCCAATTTCGTCTGCTTCTGAATTTTCTCATATTGGTAAATTTTTAAAGTCTTTAATTTTTAAAGACTTTTTGGCAAATATTTATATGTATGTTTGTGTATAAATGTCTACAGCCAAATCCTTAATATAAAATCATATGAATATGAACATGCATATACGACCTTACCAAACCTAATATTTTTAACTGCAAATCAAATTCTCTTATTCTAACAGTAATGCAAAGGGAGAGAAAAACATTCAGTAAAATAAATTCCAACCATACTACAAACCCAGCCTGTCTGAAATTGAGGTCAATTTCCCCCCTTTGTACTCTCTGCCTACCCTGTCCATCCCCACCCGTCTTAGTCCATTTGGGTAGCTATGACAAAATACCTGAGACTGGGTAATTTATAAACAACAGAAACTTATTTCTCACAGGTCCAGAGGCTGAGAAGTCCAGGATGGAGGCACTGGAAGTTTCAGAGTCTAGAAAAAGTCCATCCCTTATAGATGATGCCATCTAAGTATCCTTGGCTGACAGAAGGGGGCCAAAGGGACAGAACATTGGTTCCTTATGTGGCTGAAGAAAAGCAGAGCAAGAGAATGATCACTTCATCCTCAAGTCATTTCTGAAGCTGCTAATCAGATTCATGAAGGCAGAGCCCTCGTGACGTAACTTCCCAAAGGTCACATCTTTTAATGCCGTCTCCTTGGGGATTAAATGAATTTTGGCAGGGGCTGGGGGACACTATCAGTCAAACCATGATACTCTTCCCACCCCTGCCCCCTCCCCAAATAGCTTGAAACCATTTCTCCTCTTCTCAATTGTTACATTCCTACCACGATTCCCCTACTACCTAAGCTCCGACTTCAAGGTTTTCTGACGCTTACCTGTCCCTCTTCTTTACCTTCTCAACCCCAAACCCAAAACCCTGCACAACCAGTTGTGAATTCTTTCCATTTTTCCTTCACAAAATCTCTCATGGTGCAGGAGGACATGCTCCTCAAAATTACCCCTCCAACCCTAAAATAAGGGTCTAGATCAGAAAGTGATTCTCTCAGCAATAAGATTTCTGGGGGAAAAAAATTCTTATTAAAATGGAGAAGAAGTGCCCAGTTGTAAGAGAAGATGTGAGAGATCCAGGAAAGAAAGTAACCTGCTGCGAATCCAGGCAAGGAGCCCAAGGCACCTTCACCAGATGAAACATCTGGATTCGGTCCTTGTCAAGAAACCGAGAGCCCATTCAATCCTAGTGTCATTTGCCTGGCATCGGGGACTAGAGCCTCGGATGGTGGGTTGAGAAGGGAATCTGCCAGGACTGCTCCATCCAGCCTTATCTGCTCTCACCCCAAGAAGCAGGCCACAATGTGCCTGCTTGTGACCCAAAACCATCCCCAGTCAAGAAGGAAAGTAGTTAAGAAGAGGAAGAGAAAGTAGTTCAGAAGACTGTTTGGACGGTGTAGCCAGGCGGAAGACGACCTTGAAGGTAAAGGAAGGTGCCCGGGTGAGGAAGGGAGACCTAGATGGGGAGGGCACCCAGGTACAGCTCACCTCGTTAAACGTCATTCCTATCAAGAGAAGCTACTGGGAAGAATTGTCCCCAGAAAGGAAGAACTGTGTCTGCTTTTTCTTAAACAGGATAAACCTGCTGCCAGGAAGAAAGAATTAACTCTCATATAGGAGCGAGATGTTAGAAATTCTGTGACGGAAAGGGATATTTGCAGAAATGAAGTCCCAGAAGAGATCAAAGGGATTGGACGTAGAGTTTTTCAGTCTGTAGGTTACAAAAGAGTGTTCTGAGATGGGGTGAAATGGAAAAGAATTTTTGAGGAATACAATGCGTTTTAAGAGACTTTGGGGACGTGTGTGTGTGTCTGTGTGTCTGTGTGTACTGGGCCATCATGCAATGCCTATTTTTTTATTGGGAGTTATGGTCAAAACAGTGGTCACTGGTGAAGAGGTTAGACGTAAGTTCTCCCTGACAGCCCCTACTGCACCCCAGGCAAACCCACCCACCCACCGCATCTTTCTTCTCTCTCTCTCACTCTGCCTTCTTCCATTTCTCTTCCTTTAATAAATATTGGGCATCTGTCTATCATTTACCTACCATTTACCTTTCTAGGTCCTGAACACAGAGTTGACTTGGACACTGTCCTGTCCGTCCTTACAACACAAGGCTCACTATCTAGTTAGAATGACCTCTGGGCAGCTGAGCTCCTTCAGGGCACAGGCAGGGCTCACTCTCTAGCTTTCACTTAGCAAATCAATCCCTGATCCAGCTGGGAGGTCTCCCTCCATTTTTCAGAGCCCTCTTCTCTGACCTGGACACTCTGTGTGGTCTCGGTAGGGCACGAGGCCTTGCTCTCATCCTCCAACACGCTGACCCTCCAGCTCATGTGATTCTGGCCCAACATGGCCCCAGCCTCAGATCCCACCCAAGAGTCACCCACATGCCCACACTGCTGTCCAGCCCGCCTGGGCCCCTGACACAGGACACTGGACAGAGCCTCCTGACCCCAGACAGTAAAGGATTTGTCCCACACACTAAAGCAGTGTGTCTCAGGGGGCACCAGAAGTTCAGTATCCCAAGCAACTTTGCCCTTACAGGACACAGAAATTCTTGAGAGATGCTCTTGGTCCTGACTTGGCCGAGGCCCTGGAAGATGGGCCGGGTGGCTGTGTACAGCAGGTCAGGATGCTAACCCTGTGTGTGTGCAGGCGGCTATGTTTGGCCCTCCATTTAGGTCAGGTTCTTGTTTTTCCAGTTTTCTTCCATTCCAGAGACCGCCCTTCCAATTGTGGTTTTGACTACAGGCATTCCGATCCAGACTCTCAAATGCGCCTTCTTGCATTGAGCTAATTAAAACAAAGGAGAGCTTTCTGCCGTGGGATTTATAAAGGGGGAAGTCTGCACCACGTCCAATGCCTTAGCACCACTGGAATGAGAGGAGAGAACAGCTTGGGAAGAGCCTGAGAAAAGAGTTAGTCCCAAAACCCTGTTTTATAGAGGATCACAATGAGGCTCATAAGGTTAAGAAATTCACCCCAGTTTGATAACTCATGGTGCCCGACACCGTCTCTGGGCCATCCTAGAAAGTGAAGTCTCCAAGGCCTCTTTCCTCTCCACCCCAAACTGCTTTGCTACTCTCTGTTTCACATGCTAGCTTCTGCATGAGATTTAACAGAGAAAAGAAAAAAGAATGGAAAAAAATCGTATTATGATTTTTTGTGACATGGAATCAAGCCCCAGTTACATCAAGAGGAAAAAAAAAATACTATCAGCTGATATTCAACTCCAGTTAATGATAAGGATGCTGTTTGACCAGCAGGGAAAAGTTTACTAATGTCTGCAAGGTACCTGGAAATGTTTCCAAAAAATAAGATAGATGAATGGGAGGATAGACAGATGGGTAGGTCTACAATCAAGCAAATATGGTAAAACAGGAATTAGTGGTGGGCTTACATAGTGGGTTTACAGGTACCCTTGGTAGATTCTTTCAACATTTCTGGATGCTTGAAAATTTTCATGATAAAATGTTGGGAGGGAAATTGACACCAGATGTACATGCTCCAAAATGTTTTTGTAACTTTCACTAATTATTCAAAAAGAGAAAGAAAGGAAATGGAAATATGTTTCCTATGCATCCCTCAGCACTGATCACTGAGAGGAAATGGGGCTCCGTTTCTCCCTCTATAAAATAAGTCATGTGACCTTCCAGTCCCACAGTTACCTGCCTGGGCTTCAAAGATTTCTGAGTCTGTGTACGCAATATTTCCAAAGTTGTCACAGAAACCGAGTGGCTTGTCCAAAATGGGAACGGTCAAATTAAAGCATTTCTATTCTCTCCTTATTCTATTCTCATGATAAGCCCCGTGCACATTGGCTGTTGACATGTGTCTAATTTATGAGAAAATCAAAAATCGAAAGAAACATCTCTTAAATGCCATTTATTTTACTGGAAAAGTCTTTTGGACTTTCAAAGGAAGAATGGGAGAAGAATGGATCATCATCTTGTGGACACTCTGTTTTACTAAAAAGAATCAGAGAGTTCAAGGAACGAAGTGATCTAACTTCATTCAAGAAGCAAGAAAGGAGTCAGAAATTAAACTCTTATTCATTGAGTTATAAAATAATTTAAAAATACATGAATGCATTTTGAGCTTGTTAACAAAAATGCAATCCTCTATGTTTTCTTTTTAATGTCCAAGAGTGGCACTGTAAATTCTCCATGAGGTTCATTCTCAAGTGATTTGGGTGATCAGAACAGTTTTCCCAACTTGACCTCCAGCTGCCTCCATTTGTGAAGTCATCTCTGGTCCTTCAAAAGCCAAATGCTTCAACAAGATCACCCATTAATTATCAGCAAAAGCAAAAAGACTCACCGGGTTCCTACATCAGCATGGTGTGGAAAAACAAGGAGGTAAATGCATTTATCTGAGAAAGTCTTCAGTGCTTCAGGCCACATGCAATCACGTGGAGCAGAGGCTCTGGGGAAAGGCCTCCCCAAATCCCAGCCCGGCTCCAAACATGGGCAAGTGAGTCAACCACTCCGTCTTCTCATCTGTACCAGAGAGAGAAACAAATGCTTATATAATGCATCGTTGTTGATAGCTCACAGCAAGTATTCAATTAATGTGAACAGCTATCACTAAAACATTGGCTAACTGGTATCTAGCTACAAGGAAGCCTGTGTCTTTGTTTACCAAGAAGTTATTCCTGCCTTTTTCTTTTAGGCTATGATTTCATATTCCTAGAAGATAAGCCCATAGTCTCAGAGGTTGATGTGAACTGTGTCAGAGGTTGGGAGTTGTATCTTCAGTTTAGTATAAAGTGAGTTCTGTCTCTGTATCTTCGGTGGCCACAGGATTGGGTAATGATTTCTCAGCCAGGGCCCCCAGGGCCACTGAAAATTCAACATGATCCCTTGGTTTAGTGCCTAAGCCTCAGTTTAGTGCTAACCGTGCACCAGGCTTGTGCCTCAGTCTGTGGGAGGTCCTAATTATGATCTTTGGTCCCCTGCCACATCAGCCTTGGGGTCAGTGATGGTTTTGCACTGAGTCACAGATTCTTGGCTTGGAGCCTTCACCCAGTTCCACTTCTGGGACCCTGAGCTTCCCACGGCTCCCTTATAATGGGTTCTGTGACTACCACCTCCTGAGGTCCCTTGATTCTTCTGACTCTGTGCTCCTGGTCTGACCCCTGTCCAGTTCATCAGCTGATTTTCCCCACTGGTGCTTCCCCCGACCCCACTACCATCACGTTCAGAGAGCCGTCCCTGCGATAGTCACAGGTCACAAGGCCTCCTGCAGATACCATGTGCCAAACAGCAAGGCAGAAGGGAAAGAGAGTCATCAGGAGGCCTGGGGTGCCTCCCCTGGAAGATGACTTTGTCAAGTATGAATCTGGGTTTGCCTAATAACCCAGAGAGGACCACACTCTCAACAAGCTGAAATAAGGAAACCAGCTCAGCAGTTTGCCCAGACACCATGGGTGATTTATAGAGTCTGCAATGTAATGTGCTTAAAGGTACCTGATGTGATGTTGTAAATGTGCTGATGAGTTCCAATTTACTCTAGAGTGAACCATGTGCCCAAAGGTCTGTTTATCTACATCAGAAAGAAAAGACCGTGCTACAGAAGTGGTCAACGCAAGAATGTCCTTGATCCATACCTTGGTCATAGCAGAGGCTTTGCTAATGAACAGGGCAGATGTTACAGGTAGATTTTTCAACTTATATAGCATGATGATTGTTCAAAACTGGCAAAAAGTAAAAGTAGTTGAAGAAGGTGGATTGATCAAAATATTTAAAGACTCCCAACTTTTGCATGAGTAGAATATAAGAGCTGCATGAGATCTTGTGTTAGTCAGCTTTCTATGACTGCAGCAAAATATCAGAGATAATCAACTTATAAAGAGGAAAGGTTTATTTTGGCTCACAGTTTTATATGTTTCAGTCCATGATTCCTGGGTTCCACTGCTTTGGTCTATGGTAAGGGAGCATATCATGGGGGAGGGAAATGTGTGGGAGAATAAAGCTATTCACTTCATGTCTGGGATATGAAACAGCAGGAGAGGAAGGAACTGGCCTTCAAGGGCATGCTCCCGGTGACTGGAAAATTACTAAGCCCCACTTCTTAAGGGTCCCACCACTTCTCAATAGCACCAAGCGGGCATGGAGCCTTCAACACAAAGTACTTTAGGACACACTTATCCAAGCCACAGCAGGCCTGGAGTCCTTGCCCCCAAGGAATGGTCCTTAGTAGTCCTGTGTACACGGCCACGAACTTGGAGGAGACTTCCTGTGTGATGCTGGCCAGAGGAGTCACAGAATCCTGTCTCCGGAACCTGGGGAACCAGCCTGTGGTGAACAGCAACTGGCTGCAAAGTGTGACAAACGGCTGGAGTGTCACCAAGCTCCAGACCAGCCTTCAGGGCCGCTTCTGTGCTTGCTTGTTCGTAAATGCTCAGTGTATAAGCTGGGCTGGCAGTCGGGAAGCAAAGCATTCGCCTCTGGTGCGGAATTCAAAGGGACCCCCCCCAAAAAAAATGGGGTTTTCTTTGTTGTTTGTAATTTGTTCTAGTTAGTTACACATGACAGTAGGATGCATTTTGACACATTGTACCCAAATGGAGGACAACTTCTTCCTCTGGCTGTACATGGTGCAGACTCACACTGGTCCTGTACACGTACATAGAGTAGTAATGTCCTCTCATCCCACCGTCCTTCCCCTCCCCACCTCCCCTCACTGCCCTCTGCACAATCCAAAGATCCCTCATTCCTTCCCTACCCCCACCCTATTATAGATCAGCATCTGCTTATCAGAGTAAACATTTGGTCGTTAGTTTTGGGGGGATTGGCTTATTTTGCTTATTTTGATATTCTCCAGCTCCAACCATTTACCTGCAAATGCCATATTTTCATTCTTCTTTAAGTCTGAGTAATATTCTATTGTGTATATGTACGACATTTTCTATATCCATTCATCTCAAACAACTGTTTTGGCATACTACTTTTTTTTTAATCGATGATGATAAAAAATATCAATTTTTTTTTAAAAAGTGCACTGATGTTTGTTTTACAGCCCAGCATTACAGTGCATGGGGAACAGTTGTTTCCAAGCAACCAATGTTTTCAGGACCCTGCTCTGGGTCTCCCTGGCTGGGCAAGTTTGTAAGGGTTGCCCATGGCACAGAAACAAGTCGGGCAACTCCTACTCAGTCATTTCCTTTTAATATAGAACTTTTATTAACTTTTAATATTAAGATATTTTAATGATATTTTAGTGTGTGTGTATGTGTGTGTGTATAAACAAGTTAAGCATACCTGATCCAAAAATCTGAAATCCAAAAAATGCTCCAAAATCTGACATGTTTTGAGCCCTGACATGATGCCACAGTGGAAAATTCTACAACTAACCTCATGTGACAGGTCACTGTCAAAACACAGGTGCACTAAAAATATTGTATAAAGTTACCTCTGGGCTATGTGTAGAAGGTATACGTGAAATATAAACGAATTTTCTGTTTAGACCCAGGTCCCCTGCCTAGGACAGCTCATTATGAATACAAAAATGTTCCAAAATTTGAAAACATCTGAAATATTCCTGGTCCCAAGCCTTTAAAATAAGTGATATTCAAAGTGCATTTACTTTTATAATTAATTACACCTGGCATATGATTAATATCACATGTGCATACCGTGTACGATATAGTTATAAGGTAATAACATGCCCATGAAGCGAACGCTGGCTGACTCTGGTAAAGGCATGTAGAGGGCCCTGCTTCTCCTTTGCTTGGGCCCAGCACCGCTCAGCTCAGCAGAGCCCGGTGAGACAACATTTCATCCAAGACTTGCTGTCCTCGTGACCCAGAAGTGAGGTTGTTACCTAAGAGCTGAGCATCCTGGCAGAGGTCTCAAGGGTGGCACATTTTCCTGGTGACCCACATGCTAGCCTCCGCCTCTCCAAGTCACCTGCTTTCCCAGTATCAAGGTCACCAGGAACACATACTAACAGGTTTATGGGGAGCATAAAATTATAGCAAAGATAGGAAAGCACACGTATGCCCATGTTGGAACTGAATGCTTGTGTCTCCTTAAAGCATCTGCAAACTCTTAATCCCACTGTTACAGGATTTTAAGATGGGGTCTTTAGGAGGTAGTTAGATCATAGGGTGAGGTGCTCATGTTGGGATTTGTGTCCTACTAAGAGGCTCGATGGCTGGCTTCCTCCTCTGCTCTCTGCCATGTAAGGACACAATGAGCTAATAGTCCTCTGTGAACCAAGAAGCAGGCCCTCACCAGAGACAAGGTCTGTAGGCTTCTTGACCTTGAACTTCCCAACTTCCAGAACTGTGAAAAATAAATGCTTGTGCTTTAAGTACCCACTCTAGGGAAGTTTGGCATCGCAGCCTGAATGGACTAGCACAATGTGTTTGTGTGTGTGTCTATATATGATGGACATGTGTGTGTTTCTTAACTACCATCTATTTGTTCAAAATATAATATTGGGGAAAGAGATGAAATTTTTCAAATTATAGACAAGTATAAATAAAAATATAAATTTTAGAAAAGCATTCATGATCCTCACTATGCACATATACATATGTATACAAGAAGAACGTTTCCTAAGAGATTCCGAGGAATTTCAGCCGAGAGCACTTCCAGTAAATGGCATCTTGTAAAATTTTAGGGAATTCCTGGTGGCATTTAAGATACATCTTGATGGACAGATTGCCAGGGCAGATTGCTGGGGGGGGAGAAAAGCAAGTTGCAAAACGATAAGTACAATTTGATACTATTTATGCCATAGACACACCCACACACAAAACATCAAGCCACACCACGCATTCTGTATGCGTGCATGTGTGTGTGTGTCACTGCATAGAGTAGAGTACAAAAAGGTGCCCTTCAGCCAAAAGTGATAGTGATCTCTAGGGAGAAGTGGGGCAGGGGGCTAGGACCCCGTCTATATACGCTTTCATATTTTATTTTTTTAAAACTGTAGGTAGCTATATGAATTGCAAAAAAAAATCTCCCAGGAAGAGGGAATTTTAAATGAGAAATCAGAGGACACAGACAGGCAGGCAGGAATAGTGCATAAAGAGGACTAGGTGGGAGAGTGTTCCAAATAAGTGGATGGAGACCCAAAAGTAAAGGACCGAACATTCTAGCTAAGCCATGGGTACTTTTTTTAGAGCCATGCCCTAGGAAGTTACTTTGGATGACAGTATATAGAGCAGATTGGACAGGAAATGAGTTGGAAGCCTTAGGAAAGGCATGTGAGCCAAGGCCAGGACAGGGAGGAGAAAATGTGAGGAAAGATTTTGAATTTACCTGATCTGATAGGGCATAGGCAAATTGCAAGAAAGAAGAGATGACAAATCTCAACCCTTAAGGTGGGTATGGTGTTGGTATCAAAAATACAGGATTTTTAAAAATAAATTGAAGCTAGGAAAGTACAATGATCACCAAATTCTATTTCTCAGACATTCAAATAAGTGAATGAATTTTTTCCAGTGATTAATAGAGTCAATATGTGGACTGCACTTGGCTTAGTACCTTGACAACAATAATAATGACAAATATGTATTGACCATTTTTATGTGCAAGCACAATTGTAATCACTTTTATCCATCACAACATTTAACCAACAAATAGTTTTATGCAATAGGCATGATTACTATGCACATTTTACCAAATTATATTTGGTAAATCTCAGGCCAGGGTTGCACGTCCATACCCCATGTCACTCAAACCGCCTTCCAAAGGTAAGAGAGGTGGTGTCACTAATAAAACCAACAATTATTACGCATCCCTACTATGTCCAAGCACTGTGCCAAGCATTGACCTGACATCATATAACCTAACATTTCAGCCCATTAACTTAGAAACTATATTTGAAGGACTAAATTATTTAAAAATCATTTAACGTACATTTAATTTTAAAAATCCATTTAAACAGATAGCTCTCCAAGAACTACTTTGCCTAACGGAAATCCCATCATATAAAAATTGATTTGTACATGACAAAATTTCAGGGGGTGAAAAATGGACTAGAAGAGCCAGTGTGTCCTTCAGGTAAGGAACACTAGGAGCGTCCTCTGAGCTGGGGACTGAGGACTTTACATGCATCTGCTCAGGTAAGCCTCCCAGCAACTGTCTAAGGTAGGAGCTATGATTATCTTTTTGCTCAATGAATGTTTGGCGTGTGCTAGCTGTCCAGTAAGTTTGACAGATATTTTACAGCTTTGAAAACTATTTTTTTCACTTTCTTAATTTCTTTTTAGATATATATGACAGTAGGATATATTTTGACATATTATACATACATGGAGTATAACTAGGATCCCATTCTTGTGGCTGTACATGATGTGGAGTCACACTGGTGGTGTATTCCTATCTGAACAATAGGAAAATTATGTCCAATTCATTCTATTGTCTTTCCTATTCCTAACTCCCTCCCTTCCCTTTGTCTAAAACTTCTATTCTTCCCCTCCCTGCCTTTTTGTGTGTGAGCACCCACATATCAGACAGAACATTCAACCTTTGGTTTTTGGGGATTGGCTTATTTCACTTACTATGATAGTCTCCAGTTCTGTTCATTTACCAGCAAATGCCATAATTTCATTCTTCTTTATGGCTGAGTAATATTTCATTGTGTATATACACCACATTTTCTTTATCCATTCATCTGTCAAAGGGCACCTAGGTTGGTTCCATAGCTTAGTTACTGTGACTTGAGCTGCTGTAAACATTGATGTGTATGCTGATTTTAAGTCTTTTGGGTATATGCCAAGGAGTGAGAAGACTGGGTCAAATGGTAGCACCATTCCAGTTCTTTGAAAACTATTTTTAGAAATGATTATAAGCTCCTTGGGGCAAAACAAACAGTGAGAATGGTGGGGACTCTCAGTACATTAAAAAGTGAAAACAAGTGACACAAGGCCACGGTGTCAGTCCATTCCACACAGTGACACCAGAAGAATTGTGACCGTGCGACCTGGTTTGCCAAGAACAATGTCAATTTATGTCTTTCTTCCTGATGAATGGTTAATAACGCCTCCTTGAACTCTCAAACATGTCCAGTTTGGATGTATATTAACTGGTCACCCTAATCAAAAAAATCTCAATGTAAATGTAATATACTGGGTCAATGGTCCCTTCTTCCCCTGCCCGTCCAGCCTCACCCCACCCCACAATGGATGTGATTCTGCAACTTGGGGCACCGTTGCATTTGTATTAAATGGCACACAGTGGTCTGCTGGCAAAGGGCCACCAACCACTTGAAGATCAGCAGAAAGATTAGCCAAAGAACCTTGGAGCAGGAAAATCCTGATGGTGGCCTCTTGATACCTGGCCTTGACTTTCCCCTGAACACACTTAACTGCATGTCTCTATTTTGCTTGTAAAATTAAAATTGACCACTGGGTTCTGTAAAGACAAGAAGACTAGTCTCCTACCTTACACCCTAAATACATGTGTACATAGTGATACATGATACTGAACATGTATGATCATAAGGAAATACAGATATATACAGTCATAAAGAAAATCACCAAGGAAAAGACAGACAAGTTTGTTGCTGTGGGTATGTGTGGAGTGAGATATGGGGGACAGACCATATAATGAAATAAGAGGAAGTGTGTCAATATCAGCAAGAAAATAATTTTAAAGACTCTTCACTAAGACAACATGGGATCCTTTCTCATTCCAGCACCTCTTTTCTCCCAGCCCCTCCCCAAAAAAAGGGACGAAAAAATGGCACTAAAAAAAGAAGCAGCAAATTATAAGATGGCCTTTGTGATGGTTTAGATATGAGGTGTCCCCCAAAAGCTCCTGCATGAGACAATATTAGAACATTCAGAGGTGAATGACTAGGTTATGAGAGCCTTAACCCAATCGGTGTGTTAACTCACTAGTGGGGATTAACCCGTTGGTAACTGTGGGCGGAAGAGTGTGGCTGGAGAGGGGGTCCCCAGGGGAGTGCCTGTAGGGTTTATATTTTGTCCCTGGTGAGGAATGTCTCCCCCCTTTCCCTGATTGTCATGTCTTGAGCTGCCCTGCCTTTCTACACCCTTCCGTCATCATGTTCAGCCTCATCTCCTGCCCAGAGCAATGTAATCAGCTGCCTATGGACTGAGACCTCTGGACTGAGCCCCAGTAAAGTTTTTCTCCTCTAAAATTGTTCTTGTCTGATCTTTTGGTCACAGCAGCAAAAAACCTGACGAACACAGCCTTCGGGCTTATATGAGAGTGATAGAGGTGTGTCCCTGGAGACCCAGACAATATATTTTGGCTAGTCAAGGATGCAACCTGCCAAGGCTCTGTGGCAAAATCCTTCTCACTACAGCCCCCCAGGCACTTAGTGTAGCACCTACAGCGCTGCCGATATTTCTGAAAGGGAGCAAACTAACAAACCGACTCTGTCTCTAGCCCTGACTACTCAACTCCCAGACTTGGTAGCTCTCCATGATGCTTCTTTGGCCAGCAGTGACTGAGAAAGTGAAAGTTTGTGTTCAATTGTCTCTAACACCAGGCAATGAGGAAGGGCGGGGACAGCATACAGAGTCCACTCAGGGAACAGGGTCACCCTCAGATGTGGGTCACTACAGCTGCTATGGTGACAGTGTGGTGGCAGCATACTTTGAAGCTGCTGTGTTTGGATAGCGAAACTTTTTAATTCATAAATTGTGTGTGTGTGTGTATGCACATGAATATTCATATACTAACATACAAAAAAATTATCAATTTTTTTGTAAATGTACATACATTTCTTGTCTTTGATTTCCCCCACATATTACTATTGGCGCATTATAGTTGTACATTATAGTTGTACATAATTGAAGTGCATTATAGTTGTACATAATGGAAGGATTTATTATTATATATTTGGACATGCACACAATATAACAATATATTTTGGCCAATATCATTCCTGGTATTTCCCCTTTCCCTCCCCTCCTCCACACTTTTCAAATTCATACTTGCAAAGATGTGCATGCCATCCCTCATATTTTTAATATTTAGATGTATAAGCATATTCTTTTGTTTTAAAAAATTCGATCAGAGGCATCTTTATTATTCTACAAAAGCAGAATTTATAATATTCTGCTTTTTAAACTTTTCCCTGAATGCAGCACATATATCATTCCAGGTTTGTTCACAGAAAACCTGGAAACAATAATCAGCCAGCTATTGTCACAGTAATGACAGACAACAAATTACTTCACCACTCAACGACTCTCGGAACTGTTTTTTGAATTCACTCACATGGAGGGTCTCTGAGCACCAGGTTGGGTGCAATCTGCTCCCATGTGTCATTTTCCTTGGACCAGATGCTTCGGGGCCATGTCCTTAAGGTGATGGCAGATGCTCAGGAGGAGAGAATGCCTCAAGGCCCAAGCTTGATACATTGTCACTTCTGTCCACATCTCACAGGCCAATCTGAGTGGTGTGGGAGAACACATTTCATCTCTGTGGGAACAACTTCAGAGTCACCGACACAGGGTGTGAAGGAGCTGGGGTAAAGCATAGGAGGGATGGAGTATGTGCTAGTCAAAATCATTCACTCACATCCCTACTGGAAAAAAAATGAGGTTGATCCCAACTAACAGACATGCAATATTCACTCTACCAAGCCTCTGATTCAATCTCCTCAGTAATCTGAACCGTAGTTACTATTTAAGAATAAGGAGGATGTGAGGTTTGAGGCAGGAAAATTGTGAGTTCAAAGCCAGCCTCAGCAACTTCGCAAGACCCTGTCTCTAAATAAAATATAAAGAGCACTGGGGATGTGGTTCAGTGGTTAAGTGCCCCCTGGGTTCAATCCCCTGTACCAAAAAACAAAGAAGAAGAAGAAGAAGGAGGAGGAGGAGGATACTGAACTGTACTGCAAGATTACCTGGATCATTCTTTCAGTGAGGAATCCAGGTAGGCCTCAGATTCAAATCTTAGTGCAACCCCATAAAAGTCCTTTCTGGAATTTGGTGCTTGGTCAGATTTGTCCTCCGAAGAACTGTGAAGAAGGATTAACCTGTCATAATTCCCTTTTGTCTGATTCGTGAAGCCCAGAATCAAATTTAAGTCTCAATCAGGGCGAATTTTGCAAGAGTCCTTAATTTTTTAAGTTAAAAAAAAAATCAAGGGGCAATGCATTTGAATTGCAAGAGTGTCAGAATCTTCTCCCTAAACATTCAAGGCACTGAAGAATCTTTAACTCTGACTATGGATGGTCAAGACCCTGGACCCCCACTTATCACATTCTAGAACTTTCTGGGGTCTGAGTTCTAAGCACACTCACTTTACCAGAGTAAAGGAAAAAGAGTGATACTTGGATGAGTCCATTTTACGCTAGCAGAAGCTCACTCCTACGGCAACTTAGTAGAGGTGTAAAATTAATAGATGGTGCTACTCGCTAACTTACCAAGACCAGAGAAAATCCAGGGTAAATTTTAGCACCCTCTAGAACAGGCATCTGGCATCTGGCCTTGTCAGGTACTTGATCAATACATTACAATACAGAACATGCATCGTTTACCTACAGAGATCCATTCTGAGAACTGCATTGTTGGGTGACTTCATTGTTGTGTGAACATCACACTGTACTTACACAAACCTTGGTGGTATAGCATACTACACACCTATGCTATAAAGTGCAGACTATTGCTCCTAGGCTACAAACCTGTTCAGTGTGTTACTGTACCAAACGGTATAGACATTTGTAACACAATGGTAAGTATCTGTTTCTCTATATCTAAATATAGAAAAAATGCAACAAAAAATATTAGGCCACAGGAATTTTCAGCTCCATTATAAATTTATAGGGCCACAATCATACATACATGGATGGAAATGGTGTTATCATGGCACATAATATAATCAATGACTGAAAGTCATCTCTATCTAAAATGACTGAAAGTCATCTCTATCTAAAGTCTTACATTTCAGACTTTAGTATTTCTCAAAGTACTATTAACTGAAAGCTAGACTCCTTCCCCAACCCCCAATCCCAGACAGCATCCTTCCTTCTGGTCACCTACCTTTCCTAGCTATAATAGTCTTCCTCATTTAGGATCTCGCCTCCCTCCTCACTGTCAAAGGAAAAAGAGCAAACAGTAAAAAGAAAAAAGAGAAAGAGCACAAACAGTAGATACTCAAAAACTAGGAGCTCACTGTTTGGTTACTCCAGGGTCTGACAGCAGACACCAATCCCATAGCTCAGAGCTCACAACTGTGGTTTTATTCCTGGCACCCATCAGTAAGCCATTATCATAAGGCCAAAGATGACACTTCCAAGCTCTTTATGAAACTGAGGGAAACTCTGAACAAACCCTCTAATGTCTCTTGCTTTTAGTGATTTGCTTTCATCACCAATTTTTGAGGTCACCTAGCTAAGCAGGGTACTCTCATTGGCTTTGCTACAGGTGACATCTCTGAGGTATTGATCTTGATGGGAATGGTTGCTTAAGTTGCTTTTCAGGAAATTGGCAGTGGCTCAAATCAGTTGAAATCACTAACTCCGCTTGGGCCTGTGCAAGTGTCCTGTGGGTGATCTGTGGGCAAAACAGAGGCCCCAATACTCCATCCTCAGAGCACACGAATTCTGCCATTTTCTGCACATGCATCCTTACAATGAGCCGTGAGGTTTGATTACACATGTGCAGATCGCTGACTGCTTCACTTCTCCTTTTTTCTTTCTCTTAGTAATACCCTAAACCCTTTCCTTGGGAGGCAGATTTGAGACTGAGGTCTACCACTGGGAGCTGGGGTCTAGGCTTTTGTGTGGCTACCTCACAAATAAAGTCATTTTCGTTCACTAAACTCATCACTTCAGCGATGGGCATACAGGGAAGCAGGCAGAGAGGCCTCTTTGGGAGCAAGACAGTTCAATAAAGAAGAAGCACCACTTATGAGCTGGTGGCAGAGGAAAAGCTATGGCTTGAATTTCTATCATGGAACACATTTTTCACAAGGCACATCAGGCTTCTTTCTTGTCCAAAGGGTCTAACTTAATAGGTGAAAGGTAGAGAAGGATTGTGCTGCTTCATTATCATCAGTACCAAATCCAGGTCCTTGCCTGGTGCCAAGGGAAGGAAAGGTGATAAGCAGGTGTGACATACGGAGCAGAGTCCGAGAGCAAACCTTCATTTAAAAAGATACTTTGGCCCTGACTGAACACCTGGTGGCTTCCCATTCACTTGACAGGACTTAATCATTTCTCTGTGAATTGGCTCTGTACAAGAGCCAACCCAGAAAAGATATGGACAGGAAGGAACCTAAGGAGACACAGAACTTCAGGTACATACGATATATGGATTACTTGTCCAGCGCCTCATTCCATTTAGAGCTACTTCCCAGGATCAATCAGTCACAATAATCAAAAATTTTTTGTTGTTGTTGCTGTTGTTTCTCATCTCGGAGGGTAAACACTTGCCAAGCAGTGTTTAGGACAACAGTTGTAAACCCCTTTTTTAAGGTCCACCTGTTTCTCCATGTCCCTTTTTTCTTCTGACAGTCTGAACCAATCCAAAAGGACAACAAGGTATTGACAATAAAGAAGAGACTGTTAAAATGTTTTCCCAGTTAATAGCAATATCCACATACCAACTCATGTCAAATATCACTGTAAATGTGTAGCTGATTTGTCCTAAAACAAGCTGTCTGGCTATGGACATAAGAAGTACAGCCATGTGCACGACTGTAATCTCACCAACTCCGGAGGCTGAGACAGAAGGACCACGAGTTCAAAGCCAGCAACTTAGCAAGGTGCTAAGCAACTTAGAGAGACTATGTCTCTAAATAAAATATTTTAAAAATGGACTTGGTATGGGGCCAGTGGTTAATTCTCTGAGTTCAGTCCCTGGGAAGAAGAAAGAAGAAAGGAGGGAAGGAGGAGGAGGAGGAGGAGGAGGAGGAGGAAGAGGAGGAGGAGGAGGAGGAGGAGGGGACCACATACATCCACTGTAGAAAAAAATTCACTCTGCCCAGTTCTCTCATCCCCTGGGGACCTTTGCAAATTCTCTCTTCCAGGAGACCAAATCCAATCCCTTTGGGGTAGAGAAGCACTTACTCAGTGGCACCCAGCAGCCCCATAGGTGAAGAGTCCAAGCCTATTTGTGCTTTCTGTTCCAACACCAGTGAAGGCCACCTTCCCCCAACCCCACCCCCACCCCCCACCAAGCTCAGCGCAGAGACCATTCCTCGCAAAGATACCTGCACTGGAACAGCATGGAGTTTGGGGACTCACAATGAAAATGCAAACTCATCATTTTAACTCGCAACTTCATAAATGAAACAAATTCCCATGTAAGGCAATGAAAGAAAGTGGTGCTGAAATAGCTCTTACCAAAAGACAGTTGCCTCTGAGTGGAGGGACTCGGATCCTAAGACCTGGAGTCTAACTCTGACCACTTAGAGAGTGTGACTTGGGTCAGCCACTCCACTTCTCAAAATCCATTTCCCTGAATTACAATGAGCCTGTGTATGTAGCAGGGTTCCAGTGACTTACATATTGAGCAGAATCCCGGCCCTGGGCCCAGAAAAGCAGGTGAACCAAGGGCAGGTAAGCAAGAGAGAAGAGCCACCACCCACAGGGCCCCCCACTGCCTGAGGCTGAAACCCAATCTCCGGGAGAGGGAGTTTGGAAGCCAAGATGCAGGGCTGTGGCCTAAGCCTGGGCTGAGTCGGCAGTCCACAGCAGTAAGAGACACAGGTGGAAGGGTAGGTCAATACCTTGCTGCTCAGGCTAACCTCTGGTTGTACTTTAATCTCTAATCTTTACAGGCAAAAAGGTTTTAGGTATCTGAGCAATCTCAGAAGGGCATGTCAGCTAAATCTCAAGCCCTGTGCAAACAGATTTAGAGGAGGGAAGTTCCAGAAGATAGAAAATCCAGGTAGGAAGCTGAGGAAAGATTTCAGGAACAAGCCAATGAATGCCTGAGCCCAAGGAAGGGACACGAATTGCCCCTACGTGGAGTATGAGTCCAAAAACTCAAACAACTACACACGGACATAGAGACCCACTTCTTTAAGTGCTGAGCTATAGCCCCTCCGCACCTTAGTGTCTTAGGTAGGAGGAGTTATGGGGAAGCCTCCTGAGAGTTTCTAACAGAGAATGTCCCTTTCTTTATGTTTTATACATATGTTAAGAGTTATCACTTAAAAAAAATTAAGAAGCGATTCACACAGTTTTAATGTTGAATTAATACAATTTTAATGAAATCAAGATTCATGTTAATGGAAAATAGAGAACGTACTACAGATCCCAAAGATTACCTCCGTTAATAGGTAAGTGTCTAGAAAGGAGAAACAGTAGTGGTTTATAAATAAATCTTTTACGATAATAGGAATTTATAATAACTAAGTATTAATTAATATTACTAATAGTTTCATTAATTGAAATACCTTTTAAAATATTGTTTAGTTGTCAGTGGACCTTTTTATTTTATTTATTTACTTATATGCGGTGCTGAGGATCGAACCCAGGGCCTCACACATGCCAGGCGAGCACTCTACCACTGAGCCGCAACCTCAGCCCTAATTGAAATACTTTTAATATGCATTCAGGTTAAGTTACAAGCGTGTTTATAGTAGCCTTATTTCTCTTTTATTTTTATTTTTGACAAACCAAAATTACATCTATTTATCATGTACAACATGGTGTTTTTAAATATGTGTACGATGAAATGGCTAAATCATGCTAAATATGCACTATTTCATATACGTACCAGTCGTTTGCATAGTAACCTTATTTCGAATTTCAAAATTTGGAAACAATTGTCCAAAAAGAAAGGATTCGTTGAGTAAATTGTAGTGTCCCCATATGGTGGAATACTTTTTAAGAACTAAAAGTAATGTTGCAGATATGTCTTCATTTAAATGGAAAGACACTTACACTCCACTGTTGGATTTTTTAAAAATCAAATTACAAAACAGAATGCATCGTATGTGTTCCCTGCTGCTTGGAAGGAAAGTTTGTCTTAGAAAAGATTCTAGAAGGACACATTCCAGAAT